AAGCTGAAGAACTCATCAAAGCAGCAGAGGAACCTGTACGAGTTGGTGATGAATTTGCCAAGAATGAGTGTTTCTTTCGGCTGTGTCCCAATCCCCGGCCTCGTTACGAGCTCAGCAAGAAAGCAGCGCAGGTTACGGGGGATATTGCAGAACATGTGCGGGAAGCTCATAGATTCAACATTCCATTTTCCCACGCTCCTCCTCCACAACAGGACGTGGCTGGAGTTGTCGAAGGTTTTGAGGAGTTTCCCTCTAGAATGGCTGTTTTGGATCAGATCATGAAGGCAGCAAGAAATCCAACCGTCAACACGATCGGAGTGCATGGGACTTCTGGCGTGGGGAAGACGATGCTTGTAAAAATGGTTAAAGGAAAAGCCAAGCAAGACAGCTTGTTTACTGCGGTAGTTATGACTAAAGTGACAAAGAACCCGGACTTGAAAAGTATTCAAAGTGACATCGCACGCGACTTGGGTATGGATCTGCTTCCTACCGAACTTCCACCACAACAAGTTGCAGATCGAATAAAGGCAAAGCTCATAGAAAAGAAGAAATTTCTTGTAATTTTGGATGATGTTTGGGAGGCTGGAATAGATCTGGAGAAAGTTGGAATACCTTCTGCAAGTGAGCTGAAGCAGGCTATGGAGAAAAGGAATGAAGAACACTCATCTGGACAAGAAGATATGCTCCGCAAGATTCTACTAACCTCAAGAGATCCGAATGTTCTCTCTGGTATGATGGATGAGAAAGATCAGGTCTTTAAGGTACTTGAATTAGAAGATGATGAAGCATGGCATCTATTCAAGAAGATTGCTGGCAGCAAAGTTGAAAGCTCTGATTTTCAACCCATAGCTAAAGAGATCGTTAAGAAATGTCTCGGGTTGCCCGTTGCCATCGTAACTGTTGGAAAGGCCATGAGAGGGAAGACTCAACAATTTGAGTGGGAAGATGCTCTTATGGAATTGAAAACGCCTACTCCAGAAGGGATATCTGCAGCTGTTTATAAGCCTATAGAGTTGTCCTACAAGTACTTACAAGAAGATGAACTCAAGCAAACGTTCATGCTTTGTAGCTTGCTGGGCCATGACTCTTCCATCAATGACTTGTTAAAATATGGTATGGGCTTGACTTTATTTCGAAAGGCGAAAACAGTGGAGGAGACACGAACCAAAGTACTGACATTGGTTCACCGTCTCAAACTCTCTTCTTTGTTGGTTGATGGTCACAGTAATATGCATTTTGGTATGCACGATCAGATTCGGGAGGTTGCCCTGTCAATTGCTTCTAGGGACCACAATGTATTGGCTTTAGTAGGTGAAGATGGAGGAAAAGACTGGCCAGAAAAGGAGACAATGGAAAATTTGAAGTGGATTTATTTGTCAAATGGCTATCCTGAGCTCACGAGCAATGGGTTGAACTGTCCGCAGCTCACTTTCTTTCATTTGTCTAACAAGGGTTGTTCTCTGGCAGTTCCAACTGATTTGTTCACTGGAACAGATGTGCTCAAAGTCTTATGTTTGACTAGAATTGATTTCCAGTCAATGCCCTCAGAAATTCCCCTGATCCCAACAATGCTTCGAACATTACTTTTGGATCAATGTGTGTTTAGAGTCGAAGCCCTAGGCGCCAGTGTGGGAAATCTGGAGAATTTAGAAGTCCTTAGCCTTGCAGGTTGTGATATTGAAGAGTTGCCAAGAGAAATGGAGAAGCTAACCAAGCTGAAGTTGTTAGATTTGAGTGACTGCACCAAACTGAAAGTAATTCCACGACAAGTCCTAGCAAGACTGTCTAAATTGGAAGAGCTAAAAATGGGAAACAGCTTTGACCAATGGGATGATGTGGAGGGAAGAAATGCTGGGCTTGCTGAGTTAACAGAGTTGCATATGCTCACTGCTTTAGAGGTACGTATTCCTAATTTCCGAGAAATTTTGTTTCCTGAAAATTTGGAAAGGTTCAAGATTTTCATAGGAATAGCGAGCAGGAGGAAGTCTTGGGAGGATTACTATTGGGACAGTTACTCCTGGAACAGCTCTTTTGAAAGCTCAAAAATAATGAAGCTAAAGCTGCAGGGTGCAAGCATTGAATCTAATGACTCTGTTAAAAAGTTGCTGAAGAAAACAGAAGAACTGTATCTAGAGGGTGTCCAGGG